CTCCCTGGATTACTCCCTGGGCCTGCGGCGCACTCAGCTGTTCAGGTCCCCAGAGTGACTACCAGAAACAATCTGTACTATACCTGCTGCTTGTTCTTACACTCTCTTTTTGTTCTTATTTAGCGAGCAACGCCTCTCATTCACCCCGGGAGACAGCAGTCCAGTCAACTCAGTGTGCCCAGCTGCCCCAAGATCAGCGGACGAGACCGGCTCTGTTTTGTGTGTTATTTTTGGAGCATTAAATACATTTTCTTGTCTACCTGGGTTCGAATCTGCATATTTACTGGGTCCTAAACAACTCACACACAGCTTAACGTAACAGCTGCGTGCCACTTGAAGTCAGAGTGTGCTGCGTTAAACCGAAACACACCTCATGACGACGTACCATCAACATCATCAACACCAGCACAGCCAGAACCTGCTGCGGCTTCCACAGGTACACCATTAATCACATTTGCAGTTATTTGTATGTAATTAAATGCTTTATAAATGTCCTGTATTGTTTTATTTTCCGGCATTGACAAAGATGCAGAAGATAGCCAGAAAATCTCAGAAGGCTACTGCAGATGCCATTGTGGAGGTTCAGCGATATCTGGCTGCTCCTTCTCTGGACAGAACACAGGTCTCCTTAGGTTACTGGACGACGCACAAATCCCTGTACCCACACCTGTTCAACATGGCCAAACATTTCCTGGTGACATCATCATCTTCTGTGCCATGTGAAAAGGTCTTCTCCAAAGCTGGGGAAGTTGTCTCAAAAGCAAAATCGCCTAAAACCATCCACTGTGGAGACACTATTATTTTTAATAAAAATGCCTGAATCACACAAGCCGACCCAGTGTACACCAAGCACAATCAGAACACAATGTATTGTATTATGTTGTCAGAACATTAATTACATCCACAGCCTCATTGAACTAGAAATTATCCCGATTCTTTTGTTGGAAGCACGAGAAGTGACGACAGGAGAGCACTGTTTAAAATCAACAAAGTTTACTGAATGTCTGATCACAGGTAGGCCTTACAGTGCTGGGATCAGAGAGATAGAGCTCCCGCAGGAGTTCCATTCACTGACCTCGAATTAAGGTCTTACAATACATTTTATCTTCTTGGGCTGCTCCGCCCTGGACAGAGGTACAACATTCAACAGCTTTTTGATCCTATTGGTCATTTGGTGTGAGCCGGAGCTCGCACTTCCATGTTGAAATATGGTAAATCTAGCTACAGTGCCTTGCGAAAGTATTCGGCCCCCTTGAACTTTGCGGCCTTTTGCCACATTTCAGGCTTCAAACATAAAGATATAAAACTGTAATTTTTTGTGAAGAATCAACAACAAGTGGGACACAATCATGAAGTGGAACGAAATTTATTGGATATTTCAAACTTTTTTAACAAATAAAAAACTGAAAAATTGGGCGTGCAAAATTATTCAGCCCCCTTAAGTTAATACTTTGTAGCGCCACCTTTTGCTGCGATTACAGCTGTAAGTCACTTGGGGTATGTCTCTATCAGTTTTGCACATCGAGAGACGGAAATTTTTGCCCATTCCTCCTTGCAAAACAGCTCGAGCTC